TATATATTTATAAAAAAAGAAAAGAGTAGCTATTTATGGGTCATAAGGTATAAATACTTAAATGCCTCTTAAACATGATGTCAAATTGTGCTCCAGGATTATTATATGAACTGGTTTATATTGCCATTATCAGTGTGTGAGAAATGCCCATTTTATTACATCTTTCCCAAAATGTGGTAGTAGTCTTATGGTAATAATCATTTAAAAAATAAATTAGGTGAAAGTTGAATTTCTTTGATCACTGGTGAGGCTGACATTTTGAATATATTTTTTGTTTTTATAAATTTTTAAATTAATTTATTTTTGGCTGCGTTGGGTCTTCGTTGCTGTGCGTGGGCTTTCTTCTAGTTGCGGCGAGCGGGGGCTACTTTTCGTTGCGGTGCGCGGGCTTCTCATTGAGGTGGCTTCTCTTGTTGCGGAGCACGGGCTCTAGGCAAGTGGGCTTCAGTAGTTGTGGCATGCGGGCTCAGTAGTTGTGGTTCACAGGCTCTACAGTGCTCAGTAGTTGTGGCACATGGGCTTAGTTGCTCCGCGTGGCATGTGGGATCTTCCTGGACCAGGACTCGAACCCGTGTCCCCTGCATTGGCAGGCGGATTCTTAACCACTGCCCCACCAGGGAAGTCCAGTCATCTATATTCCATGTACTATATTATTTCTAATATCTTTATAGTTTCCTTGTTTTTTTCTTTTTGCATTGAACTTTAATCCATTTGGAATTTATGCTGTTAAGATATGGGATCTGATTTTTTTTTATCCCAAACATTTAAATAATTGTCCCAGCACCATTTATTGATATCTTTTCTTTTCCCACTGATTTGAAAAACTATCTTGATCATATGCTTTTATTTTTATATACATCATCATTGTGTATATACAGTGATGAGTGATATGAGTGATGTGTCACTGTTTTTTTATATTTCTTGATTACTAGTGAGGTTGAACCATTAGTTCCTATGTTTATTGGCCATTCCTGTTTTCTTTGTTTTGCCTGTTCAGATATTTTGCCCATTTTCTTATTAGTAGTTTGTATTTTTATGGATTTGTAACAGTTCTTCCTGTATTCTGAGTAGCAATACTTTTTGTTAAATCTATTATAACCAATTTTTCCTAGTCTGTGATTTGACTTTTCACTTTGACAAATTCAACTATACTGAAATTTAATAACAATCTTAACTTTATGGTTTATGTGCTTGCTAACCTTAATTTTACAAATACTTATAGATCATTTACTGTGTTACAGGCACTGTTTTAGGTACTTGGGATACATCATAGATAGGATACACAAAGATTTCTATAGCTTATATTTGAGAAGCTCTTATGTACCCTGTGTTCATGAAAATATTCATGCATATTTTTTTCCTAAAAGTGCTTAAAGTTTGCTTTTTCACTTTTAAGTCCTTCATCCACCTGGAATTTATTTTTGTGTGTAATGTCAAGTAGGAAATCTAGTTTAATTGTTCCATCTGGTTAATCTCAGAACCATTTATTGACTAATACATTATTTCTCCACTGTTTTGTGGTGTGACCTCTGTTGGGTATCAAGTTTTTTGGGGTTTGTTTCTGTCTCGCTACTGTTTATTGGTATATTTCTTATCTTTGGCATCTGTACCACACTGTTTATTACTATATTAAGTCTTGATATTATAGGTTTGCCTACCTTACTCTTCTTCAGAATTGTTTGACCTATTCTTAGCTCTTGTGATTTCCATATGAATTTTAGAATCAGCTGTACTCCATTTATATCTTTGGTTGTGTCTGGCTTCCTTTTCAGGGCTGCTGTTTGCTGTGTCAGAATAAAATCAAGCTGCATTGGTGGTGTCTTCTGACTTTAATAATTCTTCTGATCTTTGAACTTCCCTTTGCAGCTGCTTGCTTGTATGTTTTCTCTTTTTTTCTTTTCTTTTCTTTTCCTTTCCCTTTCTTCTTGTCCTATTTTTCTTATGGCCATTTTAAAGAATGCTTAAAATTATTTTCTAACTGAAAAAAAGTAGTATAGTGGGGAGAGAAGGCAATTAATAGAGAAGTGTATAAAGCAAAAGGTGCAAATCCATTTGATAGTTTGCTAAGACATCCCAGATATTTTTCTGGACATATACAAATGTGTGTTCATAAAAGAAAAAAATTTGGTCGTATGCGTGCTGTTCTGTAGTTGGCTTTACTTCATTTGGTATTTAAAAGGGCATTCTCCTGTAGAACTAACTAATGCCTTTTGGTGGCTACATTGTATGTATATATAGTAATTTAACCGATTCCCCTTTGATGGATTTGTAGATATCTACCTACTTTTTGAACTTGCAGCTACTTTCACGTACTGTTGCTCGTCACTGGCAAAGTGGAGGTTGTGCAGTTTATTTTCCATCTCCCTAATGTCTCCCCTCTTATTCTTTTCAAGGAGTATTAGTGGGGTTCTGCCAGGACCTCTCCTCTTTACTTTTTAAGAGCACTGGCACATAGCCCTGTTAGGTGGGAAGAGTTGACAGCCTAGTTGACAGTTAACCTTGGTGTAAATTCTTCAGTTTGGTGCTGTCTGTATTTTACTAAAAAAGCATACTTGGAGGTTTTTTGTTTTCGTTTTGCTTTGTCTTGAATGCTTAGTGTTCTGGGGGAGAGTGCTAACAGTGTCGTGTTAGAGGCGGCAGCCACCCTGAAGAGTTAAGAAATGAGTGAGCTTGAGAAAATGGAGATGAAGAGCTTCACTAGCTCTTTACTGCACACTGGATTATGAGAATTCAGGGGAGGAAGTGAGGCAGTTCTTGCCACTTTGGTTTTTATTGGTGTTACACTTTTAGAAAGAAGTTGAAGTTGGATTTCTATGTTACGTAATTTGTCCTTTTCTTAATCTTCCTAGCCTCCACCGGGCAATGTGAAAATGCCTAACGTACCCAGTACACAACCAGCAATAATGAAACCAACAGAGGAACATCCGGCTTATACACAGATTGCAAAGGTTAGTTCATGTTACATGTGTAAATTCATATTGGAAATTACAATATCAATAACATTTGCTTTCAGAGCAAAATAATTCTTTGTATAGTGCATTCCTTATTGTTTAATTTTTAACTCACTTTTGAGTCTGGTTTAGCTAGCTTCTCAATCCTATAATACTCATACCTCTTTTTCAGCTTATAGCATTTGCTTTACTCCATTATTAGCATTGAATTATCCATTGAATTCATACATCATCTTGGTGTATAATTTGTGTAGAGAAATTTTTATTGCTTTTGGTCTCACGTTTTAATGCACAATTCCATTAAAGTAACAATGATATATCAATAGATATTACTGGAAGAGAGTTATGATGGCTAAGCAAAGCACCGTGGTAGGAAGTAGGAGGTGGCAAAAATACCAAGAAAAAAGGAGATGAATAGGATGCCTGGTATTACATAAAGTCAGATGGAGTTATAAACCAGAATTTCTTAACCGTAGCCTCCTTTCACTTCATTATCTTATAAAATATAAGATATTATATAATATTCCTGCATTGGGAACCTTATGTACCATTTAACCCAATTCATAAGAGCCAATTCAGTTGCCCTTTTCTCCATCTGTCTATTTTCCTCAGCTGTTCTCTTTGTCTCAGCCCCTCCCTCTCGTTTAGGCACAGAGTTCACCTTAATTTCATTTTCCCAATTACCTTACGATTTTTTTTTTAACATCTTTATTGGGGTATAATTGCTTTACAATGGTGTGTTAGTTTTTGCCGTATAACAAAGTGAATCAGCTATACATATACATATGTCCCCATATCTCCTCCCTTTTGTGTCTCCCTCCTCTCCTTATCCTACCCCTCTAAGTAGTCACAAAGCACCAAGCTGATCTCCCTGTGCTGTGCGGCTCCTTCCCACTAGCTATCGATTTTACATTTGGTAGTGTATATATGTCCGTGCAACTCTCTCACTTCATCCCAGCTTACCCTTACCCCTCACTGTGTCCTCAAGTCCTACCTTAGAATTTTAACTGCTTTTACTGAGAGAATTTTTTCGTGTCCTAATGGGCCCAACATTTCTACCGTGGGTTTTCATAACCAAAAGGCCAAAATGGGCCAAATATTTCCATAATATTTTCTGAAATGGTAATCTGTAGTGAATTCCTATATTGTGGGAAGAGCATTTGAATTAGGTTTCTAGCATAGTAGAGAAGTAGGAGTATAGTAGGAGTAGAAGTAGAAATGTTACTGTATTTCATACTTCTGACAATGTATTCCCTTATTTTTTTGTTTAGGAGCATGCCTTGGCCCAAGCTGAACTTCTTAAACGCCAGGAAGAACTAGAAAGAAAAGCAGCAGAATTAGATCGTCGAGAACGAGAAATGCAAAATCTCAGTCAACATGGTAATATCCAAAGAAATTTCAAATAAAAATAGCTTTGAAATTCTTTAAAATTTTAAGCTTTTGTACTAGCTCTAGATCATTTGGTTTGTGGATATAAAACTCTGCCCTGTTGTTCTAGCAAGGAGGTCAGACGTGGCAGATTTTCTACCTGATGCTCTGTGGCTCTCTGATCTTGGCTGATTTACATAGTGTTTTGATAGATTAGAACAGTGTTAGCCTCTGAATGCAAATATGATGATTTTGGTTTATTGTAAGGTCAGGAGTCTTTGATTCTGCTCTTGGGCCTTTACCTCGGTCTGTTAAAGCTTTATGAGTACATGGGAGTGTGCCCTATGTTTGACTGCATTTAACTCTTAACTTCTGGTTTATTCAGACCAGTTTCAAATTAATCTGCCCCTGTCCTTACAAGTATATCCGTATATGTCAAACCATGTTAAAAAAAAAAAAAAAAAAAAAGCATCTGTGGTGAGGTGACTCTAGGAAGCCTGGGGTATTCTGATGATGCCAAAGAAATAAGTAAGTGGTGAATTTTGATTATGTCCTATGAAATTCATTCAGGCTGTGACTACCAAAGGTCACTTCAAGGGAGTAGCTTAGGGAAAGCTAGCAAGTCTCTGGGTAAGAAGCGATGAGAGAACTAGACAGGTCATTGCGAGTATGTCTGGCTAGTGATGGAGTGACAATGTTAGGACAGTGATAACATTCAGTGATACTGAACTATTTCTTCCTTATCCTAGAATGTGTAAGTCTAGGGCCTCGTGAGGACACATTTATCCTGGGCCATTTTCTTGCTTGCAACATCAGAGACAGCATCTGTGAAAGGAGAAACTCGAGGTTAATTGAGATCAATATTTCTGAAATACATGTAATGAAAATCTGTCCGTTCCCTTAGCTTTGACTAATACAAATTACTTCTATGAGAGATGTTTTAGTAAATGAAGTAGTTATGAAGTGTGGTAAATTAAGAGACACTCAAGTGCTTTTCATTTGTTAGCTCATTTCATCCTCAGTACAATTCTGTGAAGGGTGGTGAGTTCTTCTCACTTTACAGATGTAGAAACAAAGTCTTCAGCAGGTTGAATAAGTTGCCCAAGGCCTCCTAGCCAGTAAGTGTCTGGGAGCTTCTGTTGATAGTTTCAGAGCCTTTGTTCTTTACTACTATTCTCTGCTTCTCGAGTAGTATGAGACTTGTATGAGAAATGAAAGAACAACATGTAGTTTGAAAAGAATGATAAAACAGTGGAGACATGTTGGGAAGAATCAGAAATAGAGGATGCTTTTTTCCCACTATGAAGAATTTCCTGGTCTATGAAAAAGTAGGTAAAATCTAATCTTTGTAAGTGTGGGATATAATATCTAAAATGAGAAAATGGCCTTTAGGCGCTATTTTTACTCTCTGTTTTCAATGTTTTGACTTCTTGAATTTTAGTTTTTTATTTCCCCACACCACTTCCCAAGCCTTATTTTCAGTCTAGTTTCTTTAAGTAGACACATTTTCTCTCCTTACACATGGAATTTGTTTTTTCTCTAGGTTTTTGAAGGTGCTATAATTCCTCAGCTTCTTTCTCATGACTGTTTTGTATTTTCACATAGTTTCATGCTTTTCTTACATGTGTCTTTTGGACATTGTTTTTTTCAGACTTGGAGATTTCCAAATTTGATTCTTTGGTACTGGTTATCTTATGTTTCTTTATGGAGTTAACAGTAGAAAACTTGAAAGATTCAGAAGCTGGTCTTCCCTCTCCACATGCGTTAGGAGTTATATTTAAAGATTGAAGACGTGGAGGAGGAAATCTGTAGGGACTTAAAAACTTCATGGCCTTCATGTGAGAGCCAGAGTCTTGAGACTTTGAAATAAATCTCTTTTTAGGGCACAGTCACAGGATATGTCCCTGTGCTCTTTTTTCTTTTCTTGTTTCAACTTACATAAGTGGTATGACACTGGAAAATTATTGTACCATCTAATGAGTTCTAAATTGATATTCTGGGAAAATATTTAAAAATAAAAAGCTTGGTTTTCAGAGTTGTAGGAGTGTAGAGATACAATGTTATATTTTTGAAACACCTATTAAAAGAATAGATAATATTCTTTATTATGAAACAAATAATTACATGCAAAAAGAATAGCACATATTTGTCCTTATATAGATAACTTTGTTTTTTTATTTGCAGGCAGAAAAAACAATTGGCCACCTCTTCCTGACAATTTTCCTGTGGGACCTTGTTTCTATCAGGATTTTTCTGTAGACATTCCTGTAGAATTCCAAAAGACAGTAAAGATTATGTACTACTTATGGATGTGTGAGTATGGAACAAATTATATATTTATTTGAAAAAGTTTATATTTTATTGTCAAAATCTACTTTTTAAAAACTCATATAAGGGTAGTATCATAAATTGGTCTTTTCCTATAGATACTTTAATTTTGAGTGAATCATGTCATATTTAGGTATGTCAAAATTGTATATACTATGTGATAATCTAAGTTCTTAGCTGAGGAAGACCTATATATTGAGAACTGGCATTCTTTTGAGGAAGGGACTTCCCTATCATACAGTAGAATTTTCAGTGATCCTTTCTCCCTGCAAAATGTTATCGAGGCAATATTTGCTTTGAAAAAATTACTCATATGATTTTTATGCAAATGAAGGCTATTAAAGCATTATGACTTTTTAGAAGAGGCATAAAATATTGAAATATTATAAACTATTTTTCTTAGAGCTTTGAGCACAGTTTACTTTTCATTTTCAAGTGGTGAGGAATACTTTTATTATTGGAAGTGCCTAATTAATATAGGATGTTTCATTAAATAGAATGTTAGGACATACATTTTAGGCTGTGATGTTCACATTGCTTTGAATATAATTATGGCACATGGAATATTAAAACTAAATGTCAGGCTGTTACCAGGTTTTTGTACGTGCACAGAATTCCCACTTATTCTGTTGCATTTTTATTCCAAACAGCAGTCTCAGCCCCATTTAACATCATTGTGTCAGTAGGAGAGGTAGCTGTCATGACTTCTCATCTGCACAGTTGCTGGGTTAATGGACACATTGTGGAGTAAACTCTCGGAGGAAATTTGTGTGTTCTTACTGTATGATTAGGGAGCCTCCCTCCACCAAGTATATGAGATCATTTTCCTCAAAATCTTTTAGGAGTATTCTTCACATTTGTGAAACTGCTTTGGAATATGAGAAATGATTCCTTATGGATAGTACATTTTTAACTTAGTTTCTTTTGAGTTATGTTGTTAATCTGATTTCTTTGGTTAATCCTGAGTGTCAGTAGTATTACATATTTTTATTTTTAAAGGTTTTGATTCCATATATGTCCATACTAAACAGCTCATATTTTATTTAATCAATAAATCATAAAATATATGTAGATTATAAAATAATTATTTTCTTAATGAGCAGAAATTGGCCTCATATTTTAAGTATAAGTTCTTTGACTTTAGTGAGAAAACACTTTAAATGGGGGAGATGGGTGTTGGAAGAAAATTCTATAAGGAATTTAGTAAATAGAGATTGAATGGGGAAGATGATTAATTTTAACTGAATGGTTAACTGCTTTACCAATGCTGATTGTTTCAGAATAGGTCTGTTTTGTCTTAGAAATATATAACTTGCTGAGGTTCTTAGAAATAATATAGTTGGCTACAGTTTTTCCTAGCCCTATTCAGTTTGGAGATCTGTTAACTATTCAAAGAGGGCTCAAGATTCCATCCAGTTAAGGTTCCAATTTGAAGAAGCATTACCTGGAACAAAGTAAGATCTAGTGCTAGTTCAGCACTATCTCTAAATTTCATAAAATATAGGTTGTTTTAATAAATTATTTTCAAGAAGTGTCATCTTGTTACTGATTTTGGAGTTGACTGATGCTTTCATATTGTACTAATAATTATAACAAGAGATAACATTTATGGAGGATTTATCAATACTTTGTGCCAGGCACAGAACTAATCACTTTATATACATTATGTTATTAAATCTTAACCATGTTATGAAGCAGCTACTGTATTATCTAAATTTTATAGATTGGGAAACTAAAGCTTAGAGAATTTGAGGTAACTTGTCCAAGATTACATAGCAAGTAAGGTTGGGGTTGGATACCTTGACTCTAGATCCCAGAGTCTAGATTTCCATGTTATACCACCTACAAAGTACCAAAATAAAGAAATAATTTACATTTTAAACCCAAATATGATGAAGATATGGTTTCAAAGTTACCTTACTTGAAGCAAATAATTTTCACTCTAAAGGAACTGAAGCAATTAGAAATACCGCTGTGAAATGAATCTCAACCTCTTTGAGTATACTCTTGAATTTAAAGAGAAAGAAAACTATCCAGCTACATTAAAGACCACTTAGTGAGGAAGATAATATATTGTCCTAAATTTGTTTATTTTAGGTATCTATATTGTAATGCAGAACTTAGCAAGAAGAGTGATAGTTGCAAATTTAGATTCTAGTGATAGTTGGAAATTTAGGTCCACTAATACCAGATTTGAGTGCTTAATAAAGCAAATTGAAATTTTATAAGGAGGAGGTCATTCAACTTGGAAATCATGTAAATGAAATGGCCTAAAATTTTCTTTAGTGTTTTACCTACACTTGGAATCCACCAAGTGGATTGGAATTGGATTGAAACTAGCAAATAGAATCATGCATTTCACATTACCTTGCCTTTCTATGTGTTTTTTGATCTCTGTGTAAGTGGACTGATTGTTTAGTAAGTAGGCCTAGATGTTTACTCTTCATCGGGGTACAAACAAATGACCTATTATTGATCATGGTTGTTGGTTACTGTGAAAACACATATAGAAAAAATTTTAATAGATTACACAAAATTTAATTGATATTTTCATCTATACTTGGAAGAATTTTTGTGAACTTTAAAATACTCATACCGATATAGTCTGTCTTTTTTTTCTTAAGCAGATTAGGAGATAAACCTTGAAAAGTTATTTCTTTGGAGGTTGAAATTTGAGTTAGAATGTTCTGAACATTTAAAGCTTTTTTAGGCAGTTGGATGCCATTTAATATTACAGAATAATATCTCACAATCTCTTGAATTCTGTTTTTAAGCCCTTAACGGAACTACTTTTATTTCGAGGTGAAGGATTTTGAGTAAATTTATTAGTAAGCTAGCTTTCATGAGTTAGAAATCCTAATGGGAATAAGTAAGAGTCTTTCTTGTGTAGTAGAATGGGGTGGAATTTTAAAGCTGGAAGAGCCTCCTGCATTTCTCCCGCATTTCTCCCACTGAAAAATTGAAATGCACAGAGGTTGATTAGCTCGATATTACATCACTATAACCCAGGTGTTTTCATTCCTCCTCGTTCTCCTTCTGTGGAGTTTGTGTGTTTATCTGGTTGTTAGATGAGAGCAAATTTAGAGGCATCCTAGAATGTGTTTATACCTTGTTTCATTAAGTATTAATTTTATTTGATTAATAATTTAAAGAGATTTTAAAGTTTTTTTTAATGTATGTTAATTTTTAAAATTTACATTCACTTGGTTTTCTCTTTGTTATTTTTAATTAAAGTAGTGGCTTGTATATTTTTATTGTAATGTAGTTTACATTAAACAGTATTTTAACTTCTGAAATAATTTCTTTCTTGTAATAAATTCAGCCTGTGAATAAATTAAAAAAAATTCTTAAAAAAGTTATTAATTATAATGGGTAAATGTTGTTCTTTAGGATCATAGTGTCCTTAGATGTTACTCAGATTTTTGGGTTTTGGTCTGTCAGGGAAAGTAATTACTAACAATACAGGAAGAATTTGCCAAGATCTATTTGTGTTAACGAAAAGAAAGATCTGCCACAGCAGGTAAAGTGCATCATAGTAAACTTTTTTGTTGTTTTTAAATAAGTGTAATCCCCTACCAGAACATTGTTTTTAATCCCAGGACCTTAAAAAGTGGACAGCTTTATGAAGATGAGTTAATAATCCTTATAGATTGACTGTATTGTCACTGGAAGTTTCTGCTGTGTTAGTATTTTTAGTCCAATGATTCTAATTAATTTTATTGCTTAAAAATGTTACAGTGAGATTACGCAGGGCACTTCTCTATTTTCTCTTCTCTTGTGTAGTTCACACTGCGAGGAGCCTGCAGCCCTATTCTGTAAAAAATTATAGTTCTGAGTGTAGGATCTTTTTTCCTCTCAAGTCCCGGTTCTTTTCCTGGCAGCCACTATTTTTCTGCTTGGGCCTTGAATCAAGAGACACATCACATGTCATCACATGTTTCCTTCCCAGGGGAGAACCCCTTAAGGTTGTGCGTCTCTGGTTTAGCTGTGTAATTGCCCATTAGGGGAGGGCCAAAAGAATTTTTGCCAAACAGTGCATGTATTAGGACTCTTCTACCCGTGAATACTCTGTTTTCAAATCAGACATGTAAGAAATAGCAACAATGTTTTGAAAAATACTAAATGGAAGAATGGGGTAGAATACACTTGCTCTTAGGAAGTATTTTTTCATTTATAATTTTTGTTGAATGAACACATAAATTGAATGTAAACATTTCTTTTCTATTTTGTTTTCTGATTCCACAGTCCATGCTGTAACACTGTTTCTAAATATCTTCGGATGCTTGGCTTGGTTTTGTGTTGATCCTCCAAGAGGGGTTGATTTTGGATTGAGTATCCTGTGGTTCTTGCTTTTTACTCCTTGTTCATTTGTCTGTTGGTACAGACCACTTTACGGAGCTTTCAGGTAAAATGTGTGTACTTTAAAATATGCTCTTTAAAACCTGTGAAGTAAATAATTTGTAGTACACCTTAAAGGGAAAAGTGACATATTTTCATTTTTCATATTTTTTATAATTGCATAATATACCTTCAGAAAAGTCCGTATATAACATCTCTGTGTATTAAGTCCATATATAACATGCTCGTGTATTCATTTGACTTTGTAACAAATAATATCCCATTCTTTTCTCCCACTTGAGAAAAAGATCAAACATGAAAATGAATGAGGGAAAAATTGAGAACAATCTTAGGTCTTAATATTTGTAAAAGATTCTATTCCATATGATACATTTGACTTTAAAGAAAATTTTACTTTTTATTCTCCCCTGCAGAAAAAATCAGAAGTGGTGATTACAGCCTAATTTTTAAATGAACCTAGGTAGCCTAGGTAGGGTGAATATACATGTGATATTTAAAGTGAGTCACTTTTCACCTGGCAACTTTTCTGTGTAAATTCATTTTTGGTTTTTCAAAATGCAGTAATGTTTTAAAACTGTTTAAACAATAAGATTAACTATACTACTTTGCATGGTATATTTTAATCAATGGTTAGGATTAACATTTCTTAAATGCGTGTTCTGTGGGGTATTACTAGGTGTTGTAGAAAAAAATTCATTAGCTTAAGTTTGGGAACAGTGGGATAATAAAATTAAATAAGTTTCTTCATTTCAGAATTTCTTACACTTCTTTAAGAGCCTCGTGTGCTTTGTGATATGACCATGAAACCATTATTTGTGCATGTGTGTTGAGTACGTTGTTGGACTTCTGCTTTAGGAAATAAACATTGGGAAATGCTGATTTAGATGATAGCCCTAGATGAGTCCATGTATTCAATTGTTTATCAACTTATTTTTATTTGAGTAAACTCAAATTTATGAATAACAAACCTCTTTCAACTCTCATGTATGAGGAGTAGCATTACTAGGAAATAGGCATGTATTGTGCAGATGATATAGTAGGGAAATTAGAGGGCCACATTCAGTTGTTTAACTTTTTTTTTTTTTTTTTTTTTTTTTTTTTTTTTTTTTTTTTTTTTTTTTTTTTTTTTTTTTTTTTTTTTTTTTTTTTTTTTTTACTATTTGAACAAAAAATTTCTTTGATTATTCAGAATGTGTATCACCATCCCCATCCCCCAAAGCCCTGCCAAATGAAATTAGAAACACAGATAGGTAAACAGAAAACAAAAAAGAAGGAGAAGGGGGAAGATTAGGGAATTTGGAGAAAAAAGATGTCATTCAACAGAAAACTAAGTTGGTTAGAAATGGAATGAAGGGAAGAAAATAGATGGGAGGAGGGAAAGGGAGGAAAATCTTTGGATCTAATGGAACGTGAGAGGTTGGTTATCAAGGAATGCGGAGGGGCACCCCTATAGATGTAGGTTGGAGAAGAATGAAAGGGACCTATTTACTCCTTGCGTGAACAGGAGAAGAGTTACTGCTGCTCTTTTCCTTGTTATCTAAGTCTGGCTCACAAGTATTTTAATTTCTTGACATGTGGCCTCTGCTTGCCTACTTCCATCATGTTACCAGTGTATCTGTAATGATGCTTGTGGGTGGGAATGGGGATGTCTTTGAGACTTTGAAAATGACCTGAAACTAGAGACTTTGAATTTTAAGCCTTCTGTGACAAATGTAGCCAGAACAAACTATAAAAAGCCAGTTTTCTGCCATTTATCACTTGAAGTCACTTGGTTCCTTTTATTCCCTTTCTTTGCCAGTGGAAATAAAAATGCTTTGTGGAACACTTTTACTTCTGGCATTATTAACCCCTGGGCTAAATTCTTAGCTGCATCTCAACCCTTTAGAGTGTATGTATCACAAATATGTTAATTATCTGGGCTTTACTGTTTGGAGCAGAACTGAGAGGAATAGTTCTTTTTAGGGGAAAGTTGAAAGTATTTTAAATCATTAATTAATATACCTTCTCAGTGTATAACTTTGGCATTTTCTTCACCCAGATTGCCAGTGGTTTCTGGGTCTGTTAAGTCTCTTCTGAAGTATCTGGTAAAGTTTTTTAAACATCTGCTGATGACAGATTTCTCCCTTAAATATGGAAATCTTAAACCAGATACATTGGATATGATTATTTCTATTAAATACAGGGTTTTAAATAGACTTTACGTATTCATATAAGTGCTTTATTTGAGATCAATTTTGACAGGGATTACTGCCTTTTGAGAAGGTGCAGAGTCACAGGATGTGCACGTGTTTCATATTCTGTTTCAAGACTGATGATTAAGAAATGAAACACAAGCAACTGAACATATTACGTAAGTCAGTAGAAAATGGGTAACTAAAATCTTTTAGGCCAGTTGCACATATTTCTTAAAAGAAGTTGTTATTGAAAGCATTTAGTTTTTATTAATCAGACTCTGGAGTGAAGCTAAAGTGCTTTTTAAAAGTTTTTCAAGTTTTATTCTTCTCTGGCTAATGATGTATTTGCCTCTGTTGCCATATTTAAATACCTACTGTGAACTTGATTTCTTCAGGTTTCCCTAGAAGTGAAGAAAAGAATGGTAAGCAATAAGAAAAACATGGCAGGGATTGATTTTAGAATAAACCAGTCATTGCAAACATACAAGTTAGAGGGACATTAGGTCTGAGAATGTGATCAGATTTTTTTTTTTAGTTGTCTGGTGAATTTTTTTTTCCCCCCCTTGTAGATAGGTGGTAATTCCAAGTTTCTAGAGTAGCTGTTAGCTTTGTTGTGGGGTGCTGAAAATAACTAGAGGGCATATTAGGAAGTCTTTATTCTAGAATGATCAGTTCTTTGTTTTTTGTCCCTTAGTCAGTTGAAGTTGCATTTGTAATTGCCATATGTAGTTTATCTCCTTCTTTGCCTCCCTGTTGACTCATAATCTAAAAGTAAATTCTTTTTAAAGGTTAATAGTTAACTTTGTTATCAAGAATTTGTTGTAGTTTGCTTAATAACATGTTGGCTGAGTAAACCTTTGTATGTTAACTCTTAAGCTGGGAAGAAAAATATAATTGTTTTAACTGAATTATAAAATGCCTTTAGATTGAGTTAAAGTATTTGCTAATAGCTTTAGAGCCTACTGAAAAAATTTAAAGCTACATTTAAGTGATTATAATCAATAATCTCATATACTAAATCATACTGATAATTACATTTAATGATTTTAAAATGTGATAAAGGTTGATTCTCTTTAGGAATAATCATTTTAAAATTAGTTACCGTGCCTGAGAAGTTGGTTTTCCAGTGTCATCTGAGTTTCTGTTTCAGTATTTCATTTGCAAGTTTGTTACTGAGTTCACTTGATGCTCTTAGGGAAATGTTAAGATAAATAATTAATGATTGTAAAGCAGTTAGAAAATAAGTACTAAGGTTAAATTACTCACTCACTGAATACAGACAGCATATATTAGGCTGGAGATACAAAGAAGACATGGTACTTGCCCTGTAGAAATATATAATATATAAGTGAGTTTAAAAGTAGGTATCACTGAAACTTTGGCTAGTAGAATTTATACATTAAAACAGAGTAATATTCAAACACCCCCAAAATTTGAAATACAGAGTAATTTAATACTGATATCATACCTGTGATATATCTCTAAATAGAAGATTAGTTATTTTCAAGTGAGCCTTCTTGCATTATCTTTTTGAGGATTCAAGTTTTTAATAAACATTCTTCTCTGAAATCAGAAAAAAAAGTCCAAGACCTTGTTTTTACTGGAGCCATTGAAATATCAGAATGTCCATGAAAAAAAAAAGTTTTAAACTGTATAAAATGCTGTTCTATATGAATATGACTTCTCTTAGTGTTACTGAACCAAACTTGGGTCCACTCACCTGTGTGCAGTAAAGCCAATCTACTGCCACTGGGTTGTTGTGAAGGAAAGTGCAGCATTTATTGTAAAGGTACCACACAAGGAGAACGGGTGGCTCATGCTCAAAAACCCCTGAACTCCCTGCAGTGTTTCAGCAAAATATTTTGAAAGGCAAGGTGAGGGAAGGGTGTCCCAGGGTATGTGATCAGCTCACACACAATTCTCTGGCTGGTTGTTGGTGACGTAACAGGGGTTAACGTTATCAATCCTTAGGCACCAGTAGGTCTGGGGGCTGCATGCTCATGCTTGTCAGGTAGTTAATTTCTTCTATTTGGTGGTAGTTTTAGCATCTATAAAACAACCCCAGAAGTGTGCATCAGATATTATTATCTAGGTACTTCAGAGAGGAGCTACAGTGGAGGATATGAAGGAATGAATGGTCTGTCCCTGGAAGGCCCCATAGGGTCCTGCTCAGTTACATTAGTTTTCAACCAAGAAGCTCCTTTTACTGATATATGCAAAAGACTTTGACCTCCCTGAATTAATCCCATTGCCTGAATCTGAATTTTATAGATAAGTTTCAAGCATATGTGCTTTTCAAAATTAAGTTTATTAGGTATCAGAATTAAACTCAGAGTTGTCATTTTGTCATTTACATATTTTTAAAAAGACTAACTTTATTCTTAATTTTATGCTTCCACAAATCACCAGGCATTATGTAAATACTTTAAAATATTAGGTAATTATTAATGAAGCAGTGTTTTGTTGAAAAAGTATGATTATTGGAAACAGACTGAGAAAGGGTTAGAATTCTGGCTTCCCCACTTAAAAGCTGTGTGCTGTTATGAAAATGCAGTAAAACCTCTCAGTGCCTCAGGTTTTTGAGTGTAAATTGGGCATAACATTTGCAGAGTTGATAAGAAGATTAGAGATAATACATACAAAATATTTGTCTTCAGAGGTGGTCGACAAATGGTAGCTGGAATGTTTTATTTTTTTGTTTTTGTTAGGTTTTATCATTTACTTTTGATGATCCATAAAACCGTTACTCATTATAAGTTATTTTTTGCTGCTTTTAGTTCATTGTCCTTTGGTACCCCAGTCTAACCTGGAGGAAATCATAATGTACACTAAAGTGTATGTAGGTTCTTTGTATTGCTTGATAAAAATAAAC